GTTCTTGTTCTCATTTATGTTTTCTTTTGCAATTTCCCGAGGCAGACAGCATCTTGGGAGGCATGCTAAAGGATCCAAAATATGGATATTAAAATAAATAATTAGCTCTCATTTCACCATGTGGATTATTGGGATTCTGAATCTCAGCTGACTGCCGATAATAGGCATCTCTTAAAAATATATGCATCACAGACGGGCTGGGCCCAGCAAGAAATATTTGCTTCAATTTACACTCAAGGGTGTGATTTACGTTTCTGGAATCAAGACCAATTTACATGTTGCCAGTTCTGTTAGTGTATTGCAGAAACCTGAGTTCACTGCTTCAGCAGTTCTGGGTTTTAATGACGTCCTAGGCCCAAGGTCAACAAACTATGGCCCACAAGTCACATCCAGCCCACCATCTGTTTTCATAAATAAGGTTGTGTTGGACACAGCCACACCCGTTCACTTAGATATTATCTCTGACGGCTTTCATGCTACGACCATAGGACTGGAGAGATGTGACAGAAGATGTATGGCCCGCAGGGCTGAAAATATTTACTGTCTGGCCCTTTACAGGGATATATGCTGCCTGCTATCCTAGCACATAGGATAAATGAGTTCTCCAGTGGCTGCCCTGTCTGGTGAACTCACCTCACTTGACATGGCAGGAACAGCGAAGCTTAAGAGATAAGTGAGGATAAGCAGGTAAATGGCAGAGGCAGCAGCTCTGAGGCTGGAAAACCCTCCATCAGGGAGGAATCTGAGGCATCTGAGGAACCAAGAGGAGGCCACCGTGATCAGAGGTGAGAGAAAATCAGAGAGTTATTCATGGTCAGGCTGAAAAAGCCCTCCAAAGCCGTATCGCGCAAAGCCTTGTAAAGCCACGATCAAGTTTCTGGATGTTTGGCCATTTCAGATTTTCAGTATGCAGGGAACGCATTAAAAATTTAAAACCAAACCAAACAAAGCAACATAGGGGTGCTGTCTTTGCAACCGGGGGGTCTTATCTTGTTATCTCCCCGAACCTGAGCACCATCACCTCTCCCGGCTTCAACGGGACCACTGACATTTGGGAATTCACCCAGTGAGTCTGGCGCATCTCCCCTTGGTATTCCCAACATGTAGCTGCACTCTGGCCCATGGTGGGAAAGCCCAGTGCAGGAATCGGGCCTTCTCCAAGGGCTGCCAAGCGCAGATCTGGCCATCGGCCTCTGGCCTCACTGGTTGTCTCCTGCCAGAGCTTCTGGGAACCTCAGAAGTGGTGCCAAGCCTGACGGCAGTGGTCCTAAGCTAGGAGAAGGCAGACACACAAAGGCTGGGTCCTGCTGTGCCAGGTCTCATGCTCTGAGGCTGGCAGGATCTTCTGACTGAACACAAAAGAAGTCTTTCTTCCTGTGTCCATTTTCTAGGAATTCGGTCTGAACAGGGGCTACAAGGCAGGAAATAGTTGATGGCGAAGGTTTACAATGTGGGTTTTGGAGTTAGGGGATTTGAATTGCCATGTTCAAACTTACAAGCTGTGTGACATTGAGCTGGTAGCTGACTTTCTCTGAGCCCGAGCCTCCTAATCTATAAAATGGGGATACTGACATTAACTTGAGAGAAGTGGGATCTTGCCAGAGATGGCACTTGCAAAATGAGTGCAGAGCTTGGCTTCAGAACCAGTGATTATTAATTAGGGATGATTTCACTGGGCTTTTGTTAGATCGTTTGCATCTCTCTCCTCCTCCTCCTCCTCCTCCAAAAGGACACATATTACAAAGACTGTTCAGTTTGACTGGGCTGGCAGGGGAGCCACATCACATGCTTGCCCTGCGCGGCCCAGGATTACATCAGAGACCTCATCCCTGCCTGTGCTCCCCCAGTGAGCCTCCCCACACCTTCAAACAAGGCCTCCGTCTGGCACAAAGACCAAGAAAAGGTTCCGGTCCCTTGAGGTTGGAGAAGAAAGCAACTGCGAAGAAGCAAGCTATTAATATTAATGTTCCAGGAAGAGGAGAAGAGAGAAAGGACACAGGTGCCCAGAAAGAATGACTCCATATGGCTTTGATGTGTTCGTTTGCACAGGACGGGCGCGGCGCGGGGAATACAGAGTAGCGAGGAGGAGGGAAATGAAGAGGTGGAGATGGCCTGGCAGCATCGGAGAAATTACGGGAGCTGTGGGGAGTAGATTTGTCTAGACGAAAAGTCAGCCAGCCACACTGCCATCTGCAACCATCAGAGAACAAGCCAGCAAGAGAAAGGGAAGCCCTCTGGCACCCCGGTTGTTCCAGCAATGGGGGTGGGGAGGCTCTTGTAAAGAGCTATTGCTGTGCTAAACCTTGGTGGGGGGGCGCACCTGGAATGACTGAGACCCCTCCCAAGGGGATCCTTTTTGTGGACCTCCAGACAAAGTTTTTTCAGCCTCTCCTTTGAGGTCCTATTGTACATTTTAATGCCTTCCATGGACATATTGTCTGATGCATAAGAGTTCAGTCTTTGCAGGCTAACCTAGATTTAATACTTTTTTAAAGATATTTTATTTATTTATTTGAGAGAGAGAGAGGAAAGGCACAAGCTGGGGGAGGGGCAAGGGGAGAAGGAGAAGCAGACTCCCTGTTGAGCGCAGAGCCCTACACAGGGTCTCGATCCCAAGACCCTGAGATCATGACCTGAGCTGAAGGCAGACACTTAGCTAACTGAGCCACCCAGGCGCCCCCAGTCTGACCTGGTTTTAAATTCTGTCTGTACCTCTGTCTGGCTAGTGTCATGTTGGGCATATTATTCCACTTCTGGGACCTTCTCTTTCCTCTTGTATAAGTAAATTTTATAAGTAAATTAAGTAGCAGTAAGCGAGGACGTCTTTTATGTGCAAGACCTCACAACGGTGGCTGGGCTCGTGAATGTTAGAGCGCGTTCCCTTTCTTTTCCGCATACCAGTGACCTCAGAGAGCAAGGTGGTGAAGGAACGACAGCAAATTGGAATACCTTGGGAGGATATGTCAGAGCAGCACAGATGTCGCAGACTCTGCTGAAGGTAACAAATGTCCTCACAATATTATAGGTAAAACCTCTCTATGTTGAGTCAACTGTGATCCTTTTGCACAAGTGAAAGTGGAGGATCCCCAGAAGTCAAGAAGATCTCTGATACATGAAGATCAAGCCCAGCATTAAATGAAAAGAACTTAGTAAAGGCAGAGAAAAGAAGAATTATGTGAGAGCTTAGATTATATCGGACTAAATGTTTTCATCATTTCCCCCATGATGAGGAACTGTGGGTGAGTAGCAGAAGCCCACCAAATGGTCTGTTGTACATCATAAAACTTTACTTAATTGTCCAGTAAACTCTATTTGCCACACTATACAGCAGCTTTAGTCCCATCCAAGTATTTCTTTTGGTCATGTTTAAAGTTTCATTTTAAGAATCCTTGATGTATTAAACCCAACATGGATGGAATCTACCTGAATATTGTTGTTAACATTCTGTTGCCCAGAGAAGAGCAAAACCTTATTAGGCAAATCCCCTCAAGAATGCTGCATTAGAGAAAGTAGTGCAAGTAATTTTGGCATGGAGAGGGCCCTTCTAAACAAGACAAAACCCCCAAAAGGTGTCAGAGAAAAGGTGTAAAAGACTAACAAAAAAATGGAATATCTCTGCTACATAAAATGGAATATCTCTGCTCAGGAAAAAAAGCATAACAAATGACAAACGAAGGACTGATTTCCTCAATAGGTAAAGAGCTATTACAAAGCAATAAGAGACCATTTGGCCAATAGGAACATGAACAGGGAAAAACATGCACAGGGTGATTGATGAAATAAAGTTGGCTTATAAGCAAATGAAAAAAATGCTCAGCATCACTTATTATTAAAGCAATGAGGGGCGCCTGGGTGGCTCAGTCGTTAAGCGTCTGCCTTCGGCTCAGGTCATGATCCCAGGGTCCTGGGATCGAGCCCCACGTCGGGCTCCCTGCTCAGCGGGAAGCCTGCTTCTCCCTCTCCCACTCCTCCTGCTTGTGCTCCCTCTCTCGCTGTGTCTCTGTCTGTCAAAAAATAAATAAAATCTTAAAAAAATAAATAAATAAAGCAATGAACATTACAACACCAATACGAAGTTTGTTCAGGTTGGATTCACAAGTATCAGTTTGATAATCATCATATGGGTGAGGTGTGAAAAAGCGTTTTTATCGGACTGGTGCAAAATTTTGGATGGTGATTTGGCAATAATTATCAAAACTTTAATAAAAATGTTTGGTCAGGGACTAATATGTTAAAGAGATTTTAAATAGTGTATCTTACCGATACACATGCACATAGGAGCAAAGATGTATGTACATAGATGGTTATTTCAGTATGTAATGTAATATCAAAGATAGCAACAACCTGATTTAGGAAGACAGTGTTAAATATACTACTATATATATATATATAACATATCTATAAAATGGAATACTACACAGCCATGACAAAGGATGACAAAGAATGCCGTGTGATGTGTGTATGGTGTATGTGAGAAAGAGAGAGAGAGAGCGAGAGAGAATCACACATACATTTGGGTCTTGGAATTAAATAATTCATGTCCTTTTTATCCATCTTCAACCGCTTTTGGAAGGGTAATGCATGTGCAAAACAGAATACAGCTCAATGAGTCGTGACAAAGTGAATATTGTATAACTACTAATCTGATCAAGAAATTGAACAACGTCCATACCATTTCTTTTTACTTACAAATTGATGAATGCTTTCTGTCATTTAGAGCCTTTGTTTCCTTACTTGTAAATTGGGGACATTGACAGCACTTCTGCCATTGTGCTCCCCCAGCTCACAACGGACTTTGTGAGGAATGCGTTGTGCTTATAAATGGCAGAGAGCTTTGCAAACGGGGAAGATAATGACCATTCAGTGTGATTGACGTGTGAGGCCTGCAAGGATATCTTGCTTGAGGTTATCCTTGTGGTCTTCACTGCCCTGGGAAGACAGGATGTTGGGAAAACAACAGCACTCTGAGTAGAATGAACTGTTGGTCATTATTCTTCCAGGAATTCTGATATAAGGCCATCCAGTTCAGCCTGCCCTGAGAATAAAGAAGCTTCCTCGTTTCTCTGAATCCGTGAATTCTGCAGAGATGGCGCCATGCAAGGTTCTGGGAGACTCTGTCACAGTTGTCCCTTTGCTGGAATGGTCTGCAAAGACTGGAGGGGGGGGTCCCCTTTCAGTAGTTTTGAGGGATGCGGAGCGACATGCCTGCCCTGCTGGGTTCTTTCTACTGCCAGTGTAGCCATGGGACCTCAGACAAGTCAACCTCACCGAGCCTGACTTCCCTCTCACCTTGAGGATACACCTAGTCCCAACCTCACAGGGTTCTGTGAGGGCCACTGCAAGACAATCCACATAAAGCGCCAGCAAAGTGCTTCACTTGGTCAGTGCTTAGAAACGTTTGCCGTGCTAATCTCTCAGAAGGCTTAACTGGATCATCATGGTGGATGAGACTGATACAGCATATGGGCCTCTATGTTTTCTAGACCTGAAGGCAGGCGGGCTAATACAGAGCGGAGACTAGAACAGTGGTTTATGACTTGTTGCAACACTCAGACAACCCTCTATTTCTTCTAGTAGGTTTTTCTTGTACTAAGTGACAGAGTCCTTGTTTACTCCATAGTGACACATGGGGCTTGAAGTGCGAAGACAGGGATCTGTCAGGCTTACATAGGGGAAATGAGAGTAAAAAATCCTTGTTTGTGTGGGGAGGGATGTGGAAGACAAAACGGAGAGAGAGAGAATGACAGAAGTTTACCTGTGTAGGACATTATTTTAGAACCAGACTAGGGTAGAATGTTCTTTAAGAGAAATATTAGATGCTAAGGCAAAACATATAGTTTGTGGTCTTACCTGGAAGCCTTTGATACCAGCCTAGGCATTTAGAATTGATCTTGTAGGTAGTGGAGGACCATTGAAGGTTCTTAGACTAGTGACAGGTCTCCAGTATGGGAGACAATACTGAATTAGCAAATTAGTTAGGAAACAGGATAGTTATTATCTACAACTAAAGCATTATTATGTTCAACTCAAGAATAATCCCCTGGCACAGAGCCTCTTGTTCTCAACATATGCCTGCTACATTTTTTTTGAATATAAAATTGCTGTAGCCCAGATGTCACGGGGTCTCATCAGGCCTCTCCAGCTTTTTAATATAAAATGACTTTGCATTTTAGTTAAACCTGCAGTAAGTGACTCTAAGTCTTTGTCTTGCACATATCCAGCCCAAGGAATGAGATGAGGTTGGACATGGTGGCATCCCTCCACCCTCCTTGCTCCTCCTGCCCCCTGCCCTTAAATCTGAAACCAGGTCCTGGGTCCTGCTGATTTTTCTGGTTCTCCTCTGACACTGCCTACCACCAAGCCCCATTTCTCCAAGCTTCCCAAAGTTCCATGGCAAGTATGGTGCAAAGCACTGATGGAGAATGGATAAAGCTGGACAAAATGCCATGAAGCCAGTACCACGCAATTCCATCAGTGGAGGGAGCCACCACTTATCACAGCCTTCTGCCTTTACAAACTATCCATGAGGTCCCCTCCATGGTGGGCACAGCCTCGTCATGGGAACTGAAGGCTAAGAGGACAGGATGGGGGAAATAAAATCCAGTTTGTCTTGAATTTTTGACATTTTGTTCATGGCATCCTAATTGCCTTTCATACTTCCTTTGTCTTTTAAGCTTTTTTCCATCATTAAAAAAATGAATTGTGTCAGTTGCCCTGTGTCATTTGTAGAGAACTGTGAAAGTTAATTAAAAACAAAACCAAAAGCCACAGATGTAATTATTACATAATGAGGTAAGGATAACATTATCTGATGCTATTCCACATATCCAAGAGTGAATTTTAATTAGAACCCCAGGTGGTTACTAAGAAATCAGGTATAAAGAAATGTTACCTTTACTGCCTATTTGCAAAATAATTATGCATCACAATTATTGCTTAGGTATAAACCAGATTCTTTGGGAATGCTCCTTAAAAGGAAGACTGTTTGTACTACAGTCTCGGTCTATGCAAAACATAAGTAAACACACATGCCTTATCAAGTCCAGTTTCTTTAATCTGATACTGCAGGCATGTAAGATTTAGGACCATTTGAAACATGTAATCATCTAGTACCAAAAGATTAGATTCATTCTTTCTAGTTTCTCTAAAGTATCCATATGAGATGTATCTGCAGTGGCAATGAAATAAATATTTTAAGGCATCTACTCCTGTCCTTACACATAATTTATAATACTATTTTATGACTATGTGTATATGTGTGTATGTGTATAAAATGCACAGTTCATTCCAGTGCAATATATCAAAATAACAGTAATATACTTGTACATACCGTGAAATGGTGCTGAGCAACTGGTAAAGCTTTCTAGTAAGTAATCCCTGAAAGACCCTTTCTAGAACCTAAGTCATGCTTTGTCTCTGTCTTGCAGATGGGGGGGGGAGGAAGAGGGCAAAGGAGTTGATAGGATAGGGGGCAAGCAGGCACATTAATACCTCTTAACACCCATTGAAGAACTACCCTACGATCCAGCAATTGCACTACTTGGTATTTACCCAAAGGATACAAAAATACAGATTTGAAGGGGTACATGCTCCCCAATGTTTATAGCAGCATTATCAACAACAGCCAAACTATGGACAAACAATAGCTAAGTGTCCCTCAACTGATGAATGGATAAAGAAGAGGTGGTATATATACACACATGCACACACAGTGGAATATTACTGAGCCATCAAAGAATGAAATCTTGCCATTTACAATGACGTGGATGGAGCTAGAGTGTATTACGCTAAGTGAAATAAATCAGTCAGAAAAAGACAATACCGTATGATCTCACTCACGTGGAATTTAAGAAAGAAAATAGGTGAATATAGGGGAGGGGGGAAAGGAAAAGAAGGAGAGAGGGAAACAAGCCATAAGGGACTCTTAATGATAGAGAACAAACTGAGGGTTGATGGAGGGAGGTGGGTGGGGGATGGGCTAGATGGGTGATGGGTATTAAAGAGGGCACTTGTTGTGATGAGCTCTGGGTATTTTAAGTGATGAATCCCTAAATTTTACACCTGAAACCAATCTTGCACTGTATGTTAACTAAGTAAAAATTAAATAAGAAATAGCGTGGAGGACATTAGGAGAAGGAAGGGAAAAATGAGGGGGGGGCGGGAATTGGAGGGAGAGATGAACCATGAAAGACTATGGACTCTGAGAAATAAACAGGGTTTTAGAGGGGAGGAGGGAGGGGGGATTGGTTAGCCCGGTGATGGGTATTAAGGAGGGCATATAGTGCATAGAGCACTGGGTATTATCTGAAAACAATGGATCATGGATCACCGCATCAAAAACTAATGATGTATGGTGACTAACATAACATAATAAAAATTTTTTTTTTAAAGATTTTTTTATTCATTTGAGACACAGAGATAGAGAGAGAGAGCATGAGCAGGGAGAGAGGCAGATGGAGAGGGAGAAGCAGGCTCCCCGCTGAGCAGGAAGCCCGATGTGGGACTCGATCCCAGGACTCCGGGATCACGACCTGAGCCGAAGGCAGATGCTTAACCATCTGAGCCACCCAGGTGCCCCATATAACATAATAAAATTAAAAAAAAAAAAGAAAAAAGAAAATTAAAATAAAAATTTTAAAAATGTAACAAACAAACAAACAAAAAGTAAAAATTAAATTAAAAAAACAAACAAACCACCCATTGCTCAATGAGGCTGGCTGGAATGCTAAGTTGAAGAGGACTCTGGAGGCACGCCCTGGCCCAGGGGTAGCTGTGCCTTAGGTTAATGGTGGATGATAATGTCTTACGTGGTCATAGAGGTGTTGTGGCAGGTGGTTGTGATGTGCATGTAATCAGGTTCCTGTTTTGTGCCTAATGAAAAAACACACTAGGTGGGAATCCAGATTTCTGTGTTCCGACCTCAACTACCTGTTCCCCCAGTGACTAAATTACTGTGTGACCTTGGGCAAGTGTTCAACTTCTCTGAACCATAGCTTTATCTTTCAAATGGGAACAAGGATACCAACTCAGTCCTCCTAGTATATATAGCTTGAGACCACGATAAGACAATCAGTTGAAAATTACCGTATAAAACTTGAGATAAAAAACATTGTTATAGGTGTTCTGGCTTCTTTTCTTCATTCAGTGTAACATTTAGACAGCCCAAGCCAAGGGACCCGAGAGAAGGGGCAGACAGCACAAATCTACTCAGCTTTGTAGTTTGCTCGTAACTCTCATTCAAAATCAAATCAACAAATAGAACAAAACTCCAAGCAAGTGTAAGGATAAATTTTTGTTTATAAAAATGTTTCTTGGGCGCCTGGGTGGCTCAGTCGTTAAGCGTCTGCCTTCGGCTCAGGTCATGATCCCAGGGTCCTGGGATGGAGCCCCGCATCGGGCTCCCTGCTCAGCGGGAAGCCTGCTTCTCCCTCTCCCACTCCCCCTGCTTGTGCTCCTGCTCTCGCTGTCTCTCTGTCAAATAAATAAATAAAATCTTTAAAAAAAAAAAAATGTTTCTTCCGCTTTCCTATATGCCTAGCTCTGTTGTAGATTGAGGTGCTTTAGTGAACAGAAAGTGCCTGTTCTTGTGCAGTTTCCGTTCTCGTGTGGAGAGACCCGCAATGCCCAGACACATACAATGGTAAATACATGAATGCATAAAAGAATCCATAGCTGCATAGATAGATAAAATTACAGTTAATAAAGGAATGAAGGGACATTCAAAGCGTCAGCTGCCGATAAAAGCCGTGAAGAACAAATACAGCAGGACTGGGGACAGAGTGAGTGCGGGTGGGGAGGTGTTTCAGACACGGGGATGGAAGGGTCTTGGGCTCGCCATGTGATCACGGAACAGAGCGAGGTGAGGGAGTGGGCCAGGTGGCTTTCTGGGGGAAACCGTTCCAGGTGAGAAACAGCAAGTGCCAAAATTGTGTGCCAGGGGTTCAAGGACCAGGAACGAAGCCAATGTAGCTTTTCCATTTTTACCAGCATTTCTGTTGGGGTTCATTTTTGAGGTATAGCCCTGCCAAATAACCACGTATTGCGGGGGCCAGGAAAAGTCACATACTGGTGATTACTGATATGGCCCCATGCTCGAAGTCCGACCTCTCTTGTGACCACCACCAGTTGACTTTCCACCTTTGCCATTATAAATGTATGTTTAAACCACGATGGTGTTACTCTTGCCCTGTAAGTAAATAGGATTTTTTTTTCTTGCAGGGAATGCATTTTTTTTTTTAATGGTCTATAGCCTGATTTATTTCAGTAGAAACAAACGGGAACATTGTTTAAAAGGTGCAATCTGTCAAGAAATTGACTGTACCCTGACTCCTGCAGGGCAGGGCAGGGCAGGGCAGGGCAGCTGCTCCTGCAGGAGTGTGAAAACTGTATCCTATTTGTCCCTCTGCTGCTTCCTTTTCCTCCCTCTGCAGTTCATCCTGGACAGTGCCTCTCACGTAGCCTCTTCTGTTCTAAGACCAGCCACTCTGTGTTGCCTTCCCACAGGGTGCTTGCTAATAGTGCTCTATACGGTTTACACACATTTGTTCAATTTGCTTAGTCCTTACAGGAGTGTATTATTAAACCGATCATGTCAGATTCAGACAATGAAATGAAGTCAGGCACATCAAATATTTATTTATTTATTTATTTAATTTTTTTTTTTTAAGATTTTATTTATTTATTTGACAGAGAGAGACAGTAAGAGAGGGAACGCAAGCAGGCAGAGGGGGAGAGGGAGAAGCAGGCTCCCCGCTGAGCAGAGAGCCCGATGCGGGGCTCGATCCCAGGACACCGGGATCATGACCTGAGCTGAAGGCAGACGCTTAACGACTGAGCCACCCAGGCGCCCCAGGCTCATCAAATATTTAGACCAGTGCCTGGTACTGATTCCCCCAAAAGGTAGCTACTCTTATCACAATAATACTTCATTTAGTCCATCTAAAAACCCTGTGAAGGAGGCATTATTATCCTCAGTTTATGGGCTCAGATAGCCTAGGTAACTTCGCAAAGTCACTCTGCCTGCTAGTTTCAGTCTAAAATAGGGTTTAAATCTCCGTCTGGGTGCCTGGGTGGCTCAGTCAGTTGGGCATGCATGTACATACACATAATTCACAAATGTGTTTTGAAGATCAAAGTATTTGCATATATATATTTGTAAAATATATAGAATTAATATTTAACACATTTATTTTGTAAAAGTACACATATATGTAATTGAGACGGTCTTATTCCAATAAAACTAAGGTATTCTTATTAATCTAAATAATTATTCATCTGAATCTGTCCTCAGGCAGTCTCTGTTACAACTGGTCAGCTCTGCAACTGCAGCATGAAAGCAGCCATGGGCAATATGTAAAATAATGTCTCTGGTTATGTGCCAAAAAAACTTTATTGGCAAAAACAGGCTGAGAGCCAGAGTTGGCCTGTGGATTGCAGTTTGCCTGTCCCTGCTTTATCCCTTTAGTATCCTCCTTGCATTTCTTTATTTTCACATGCTTCTTCCTTTTGCCTTCCCCTCTCCATTCTGCCCATCCTTCTCATGCATTTGTTCGTTTTCTGCTTGTAATATAAGGTGCAACGCAGAGTTTCTTGCTCTGGAAATTCTTCCTTGACCACCTAGGCTGGGTTAGGGGCTTCTCACTCATGCTACCCCAGTACCCAGTGCTTATCCCTGTCTTAGTACTTACACCCAGACTGATTATTTTTACATTTA